CCAATATGTGGTATAATGCTTTTTGGGACTGATCGTTAAGTTGTGTTATTAGACTTGTGTAAAATATACATTTTTATTGTCAGAAACTTAAAATTGTAATTAATGCATCTATTAAACGTATACCACTTCTAGACGAAAACATAAATTTGACAATAATAATTAGATCTACAACATTTAAATGAGTTATTCTAATTTATATGGCACATCAATGTTCATTATCTGAATGTTACCGTTGAAAACACTCCCGTTTACATCGTAAATCTAACAGGAAAGGAATGCCATCTAGCGACCGTTTTTAGAAAGTTCATGAACATGCTAACATGCTAAGAGAAGGAAATTGTGTGGAGTAAATTTACATAGTTCTGAAGTATCCAGGCCGTCGAGGGAAACTTAGTAGAATTGTAACAAGTGTGATTAAAGCATGAGGCTAAGTTGCTATAAAACAAGAGCAAATCCGTCTAACATATGCTAGTAAGGGTTACAATGCGTCTTTATAAATGGGATTGGGCCAATTTTCAAAGCAATAATTCGAGATCGTTTAACCCTATTATCTTGGAATTCGGATGGTGTGTAATTATCTTGTTGTATGTACACGATTTGAGAAGGCTTAATTAGAAACCGTTTTTAAGGAAACAAATAAAGCTCTTTTTATTTCTTATTAATTAGAATTAATTAAATTATATAATGGTAAAAGGTAAGCTTATAACAAGATTCGCGAACTCATGCAATATTTCCATGTCATGTCATAGTGTAATGGTGTCTCGATCGGATCTATAAGTGATATACAAGTGAGCCCAAGGAAGACTGAATTATAACAATATTCAGTCATAACAACGTTCCTGGGTATTCAAGAGTTTGAGTACGCTTCAGAATATAATTAGTTATTACAAGTACTGAACAAGATGTTAAACTGGAATTTTCACATCAACATGCTGTCAATAATGCTGCTACACTACTATACTACTTTCTGTAGTATGGTGTCAAAGCAAATTCAACTGAACAGTCTGCACTTGCTGCTGAAACTCGTACTTGATTATCCCCGCATTGCGGTGGAAAGCAAGTTTCCATGTGGCAGTACAACTGTTTTGGAGTAAGGTTAGTATGCTATAACCGTAGAGTATAATATATCCGTAGGCAAAAACCTGTACCACCTTTAATGACAGAGTTGTGGTGACCCAGGGAACGGCACTAAGCTAGGGCTTCAGTATGGTAGAGGTATCTTGGTCGGGGTTCTTACCAGCTCAAATACAAAGAATTAGTTAGTGGAGTACTTAAGATAAAGAGAAGAGAAGTAAGAAGATAAAGAGAAGGGAAATAATACTGTGCACCACTCTATTTTTAAAGGAACAGGGAAACCAACGACAAATAAAATAAGATAACGACAAAGGTAAGGTACGGTTAGGATAATCATGCCAGAATAAATTAAACCGTGAGAGAAAAGTTATTATGTTACTCACTTAATATTTCGCCACATATACATTGTTTATATAATAAATCAAATCGTAATATCAATTAATAACAATGTATGAAAGAGATACACCATGCACATGAAATAAATATATACATAATAGAAAAATAAAAGGCAAATAGTTATCAACAGGGTTATATTGAGGTATAGTTAAAGTAAATGCTCTATAACAATTTTATTGAACCGTTAAATAGCACGAGATATATCTGCGTAATTTATTATTAAATACAAAGAATAATATTTTCTGAAAAATAATTATGAGTAACTTAGTATCCTCAAGAATAAGAAAAAGGCAAAGAACATTATAGTTGTAGCTACGTCAATATTTGATATAACTTAAAATAAAACAAATCAGTGATTTTTATTCGTTTAGAATACGTAAACATGAAGTTACTGAAAAGTTTGATTATGATCACCTCAAATATGTGTATAAAATCTATCATAAATATAAACTACATATAAAACAAATTTGATCATACCTCGCGTCTATATAGATACCGTAGATTTATGCATAAATAAAGTAAAGACACTGAACTTGAGTCCTAAATCAATTCCTACCGGTTTAGGTAGCATTGGAGAAAAAATGGTCGTTGAATCATAAATCTTGGTAAATCACAATTGAAGAATCGGTATTGTAGTTACAGTCGAAGGTGATGAGGTGCCCATAGAATTATTAAAACTCATCGATGAAGATGTTATTGATGTAATGGTTGAACTCTTTAATCTAATATATCAGACTGCCACAATCCCCAGACAATGGCTGCAATCAACCTTTGTAGCAATTCCCAAAAAACCAAGTTCAACAACTTGCTCAGACCACAGAACAGTAGCTTTAATGAGTCACGCACTTAAAACATTTTTGAAAATAATGCACAGCAGAATTGTTAAAACTCTTGAATATGAGATTAGTGACACACAATTTGGCTTTAGAAACGGTATGAGTACAAGAGATGCTTTTTTCGGCTTGAATGTGCTGGCTCAGAGACGCATGGATATAAATCAGGATATGTACTTATGTTTTGTAGACTTTGAAAAGGCATTTGATAAAGTTCAACATAAAAAGCTTGTAGATATATTAAAAAGCAAAAATATTGACAGTCGTGATCTGAAAATTATATCTAATTTATATTGGAATCAAACTGCCAAGGTAAGAGTTGACAGCCAGTACACCGAAAATATCAAAATACAGAGAGGAGTCCGCCAGGGTTGCGTGCTGTCCCCACTACGTTTCAATGTCTACAGTGAAGCGGTATTTCAAGAAGCGCTCTCAGACTCAATAGAAGGTATATCTATCAATGGAGAAGTCTTGAATAACTTACGTTTTGCAGACGATACAGTAATAATTACGGATAACAACAATGATTTACAGAACCTAATGCAACGCCTTAATGAACGCTGTCATGAGTACGGACTGAAGATAAATTTAAAGAATAAATGCATGATCATGACTAAATCTGTACATGCAAATATCCAATTGACTATTGAAGATACTGCAATTGAGAATGTTAATAACTATAAATACTTAGGAACATGGATAACATCAGATGTAGACCAAACCAAAGAAATTAAGACACGTATTGAAATAGCACGTGCATCATTTATTAAACTTAACAAGTTTCTTTGTTGTCGGGATATAAGGTTAGAACTACGCCTGAGAATGCTTTGATGTTACGTGTTCTCTACTCTTCTTTATGGTCTGGAAGCTTGGACACTAAAACAAGTTCATCTGAATAAGTTGGCCGCCTTTGAATTTTGGTGTTACAGAAGAATCCTACGAATATCATGGATTCAAAGAATGTCGAACATGGAAGTAACTAGAAGGATAGGAAATGAGGCTGAAATAATATTAACTATTAAAAGACGAAAACTTGAGTACTTGGGACATGTGATGAGAGGGCAAAAATACGCATTATTACAACTTATTATGCAGGGCAAAATCCGAGGAAAGCAAAATGTGGGAAGACGAAGAATATCCTGGCTTAAGAACTTCAGATACCGGTAAAACATCAGGTCAATCCTCATACTAGACCAGACTTGAATAGAATAGACTGAACTGAATGGATGGAGGAAACGGCAAACAGAATTGACTCAGTGTTATCGAATTGGAAGACGTCTGTACGACAAAAAAGAAAATTTACTATAGGACGCATTGTATGAAGATAGATGGATAATGGTGACTTGAAATTACACTTATCGCCGTTTGATGGAGACAACCGCATGCAGCAGGAACCACAACGAAAATGAACTTGCTTTTCGATATTTAGACCAGCTAAGGATAAAAAAGAGTGGGAGCATTTGTCGAAGAGTGCCACGCGAAAATGGTACTTAATTGACAAGTCCGGTGTAGCTTTATTTTCTGTAGCTTCTGCTTTCTCTCGACAGAAAAGTTTATTTCATAGACGACCGACATCTCAGCTTTTCTTAGAAAGTAAGCTGGCTTGTTTGACAATAGAAACTAACTTCTTTGTTAAGAGGAAGGGTTTCTATTTAACTAATGAAAGATAATAAGAGCAAGGACGACCTACTGTGAGCTATTTCGTTGTTGTTAACAGGCGTGCCAAATCGCTCGTTGCTTTGACCTAAAAGTAATTTTCTAAGAGGAATAATTAAGGAAATTTTAAACATGCTTCAAACCTAGAAATAGCTCTCTCACTCTCTTTCTCTTGTTGGTATTCCGTTATCGAGGATCGCGATTTCCTTCAATACTCCTAACAAATTTTCTCAAACGGTCTCTTTCTTCAGCTGTTCTAAGAGTTTCTGAACCAATTCCGAATCTGGTTGAACCATCTGGTTGGCGACTGTCCTTTTGGTCTTCTCCCCTGAACGTTTTCATAAAAATAATAATCTCTCTAAATTATCGTCACATAAAAGTTAATTTTTACAAAAAGTAGAAAAGATAAAACATTGGTATTCTAATCATAGCATGTTGTGTAACATTTCTAATGTCACTGAGTATAGTTCGAAAAACAAAATTTATCAGAGACCCGATAGACATTTGCAAGACAATATTTCGAACTTTCCGTAAATGTCACTCCAAACGATTTATAATGACATTTACTAACAATAACAGCTTGGAACTACAAACACTAACTTAGTTATCTGGTCAAACACAACAAAGTAACTTTGTTATGGGTGGCAGAGTGTAGCGTTACATTTTCCTGTCCCTTAAAATTTTGATTTGTGCTGTACTTACAATACCTCGTATAATGTGATTACGTTTTATTTTTAAGTTTCACGCTATAATTAATTTTGTCTGTGTGTAATTATGTTAATAGTAGGTAGTATTTCTCACGAAATCAACTGTGTATATAAGCTACATTCCTTTTTTTAACACCCAATAATATATCTTTCCGTCTGGCAATAGGCCCAGATTTCAGTTCATTCTTAGTTTTGCGAGCTTACATCAAATAAGTTTGCAGTTTTTCTGTTGAAACCCCGCCGAATTTTGGTACGTTTTAAATTATTTGTAACTGTCGTTAAAAACTTAATATATAGAAAGATTTTTCTTATCTTAATATGGTTTTAATGTCAGGCTACTGATCCACGCTTGTTAAATATTTTATTGACTTCCGTACTATCGTTTCATTTCTGCCGACTAGAGAAGAGTTTTACTAGAGAGTTTCTAGAGTTCCTAGAGTTTTACTTGCCTTTTGTTTTACTGACTGGACAGAGTAGAGAAACTCGTGTATCTCGGCAGTAATATCAATGAGAGCTGGGATCCAACCGCAGAAATTAAAAGCCGAATAGAACAAGCCCGAGCTGCCTTTGTAAAAATGAGAAACGTACTTTTAGTCACGATCTTAGAGCTTAGAGATCTTGACCTTAGAGTTCGTATGACATCTTGCTACATCTTTCCTGTCCTCCTGTATGAACTGGAAGCGTGGACTCTAACTGAGGCTATGCTTAAACGCTTGACAGCCTTTGAGATGTGGGTATACAGACGACTACTGAAAATAAGCTGGGTCGACAGAGTTAGAAATGAGGAGGTCCTTAGACGGCTGAGCCAAACAACACAACTGGTCAATATAATAAAGAAACGCCAGCTGGAAGAGTTCGGTCACATTATGAGACACCCTGAAAAATATGATCTTTTACATCTGATCATTCAACAAAAGATCCAAGGTAATCGTGGTCCTGGTAGACGAAGAACATCATGGCTGAAAAATCTAAGGCAACGGTATGGAAAATCAACTACATCGTTATTTAGAGCTGCTGTCAATAAAGTCACGATATATTGTTACATGTGTATATATGTGTATACACGTTCTACCATCCATCAATTAATAGAGTACCGGCATGTAAGTAATGTTTTATTTATTTGCTCATTTATTCATTTATTACAATCTAATAGACTATTTTATAACAATTTGTGGGTCTTGCCTTGTCTGTTAAAACTTTTTATAACTTTTTTACCTTTTTCTTCATTTTGAAAAACCACAGACATGTAATATTGGCATAATTATTGTAATTTTATAACATCTACTTTGTTTATCTTTATTACACAACACCCTAATATGGGTTTATTATTATTTCAGCATTTATTTAACTTTGTATCGACACCTGAAGATGCGTTGCATATTGTAGAAAGCGAAACCGGTCGTCTGATAGTTAAATTAAATTGATTGTAAGTCTTATTTATTATTTCTTTACCTATTTGAAATGGACTCACACAAGCAACACATTCATGACAGGTATTAGAATTCTTGATCTTCATTATTAAGGATTTTTTTTTGTTCTATTATTTTTTTGATTAGTTTTAATAGTTGTTTGGTTAGATCTGGTCTTCCTCTCTGGTGTTGGTGGTTCATTATCGTCACCTTTAGCAAATAAGGAACGAAAGTGTTTTCCCATGTTCTTTTCTGAATGTGTTTCGATTTTATTAGTTTGTTCATCTCTTTTCTTTGTCCTCTGATCATTCTCCATATTTCTTTTTGTGTTCCGTAAAAGTCGTGTTCCATCTGTTTTGAGAAACTTTTTCAGTGTTACTGTCCTATTTGTCTAACTAAAACGCTTGTTATAAAGCATTATTCATCGAAAAAATACGATTTTTATTTGGCAGGACCATCGTCGAAGAAGAAAAAAGTTGGGTACCTACGAAAATAACATCTCGAAACAACAGGTCTGACCGTTCAAACCTGACACGTGGATTAGGTCCACAGTGGATACCAAGTAAAAAAAGAGTAAGAAAAGATTTTTGAAAATACGATTTTCATAATGCTCTGTGCTTTTACTGGAAGAGTAGGACCTTAAATATTGGTTATAGCAAGAAAATGAAAGAGATCCAAATTTCATAAAGTATAAATATTATTCTCGCCATTTTTGTTTTTCTACATTTATTTCGTAAGTTAATAATAAACGAGAAAATTCAATATTTCTACTTAGTTTCTATTTTCCCCTTATTTATTACCTGTTATTACCTGTTTTTCTTTAAATTTAAGAAATAAAATTTGGGACAATTCGCCATGCAAGGTCAAATGACATCCCCCCGATTGGACTACAATGAATGTAATGCTGTATTTTCTCTTTTTGGTTTTTTAACAATATGTTATAGTGTCTGGTCTAATGGACATATGGTGATGAACAATAACTACGTTTGGATTTGAAAATAACTCCTAGGTCATCTAAGTCCTACTCTGTAGTACGTTCCCATTTCCAACAATATTCCTGCAGAAATTACTACAATATTCGCAGCAGAAGGTTTATCCATCCGTTTTTCCTGAATTACGCGAGGAAATGAAATTTCGTCTAATGCACTTCAGTTTGTCGGCTGCCCTAAAATTACCTCCCAAGAAATTTATTGCAATAGTTAACGGTGCGGCGTCACAGCTATACTTACAAGTTGAATATGAGATTACGTAGCAAAGGTGTGATTATCAAATTTGAAGCGAAATACAGTGCGGTGTATCTATAAGGAGATTCAGATATTACAACTTGTAAGACAAGATTTTTCCATTTTATTTTATTACATTTTTATTAATTTTATACATTTTTATTTACAAAGTCATCCTTCTCAATCTTTCTCCTTCGTAAGGATGTAGTGACGTCATGTAATTTGTTTAACTATTTTTGTCCAATTATCTCTCTCCTGTGCGTGTTGTTTTGCTTCGGAGAATGAGTAACCAGTCATCTCCTTTATTTGGTTCGACCATTGTACTGGAGATCTTCCTCTGGATCTTTTACCCGCTACGTCACCTTCAACTATGATTCGCTATTTGTCTTCTCTTCTTCAAGTTATATGTTAAAAAGATCTCTGTTTGTTTTGGTTGATAGTTGTGATGTGTCTAGTTTTTATGTTGAGTTCTGCTAGAATTGAGTTATTTGTACGATGGGCGGTCCATGGTATGCGCAATATTCTACGGTGGACCCACATTTCAAATGCCATTATACGCTTTAAATCGGCTTTTTTTATTGTCCAAGTTTCTAAAGTATAGGTGGCGATAGGAAATATCAATGTTCGAAAAAGGCGTAATTTTGTGTTTTTTGTGATGTTAGTGTTCTTCCAAACTTTTGTGAGTTTGGCTGTTGCCGATCTGGCCATTATGATGCGTCGATGGATCTCGTCTTCGCAGCCTCCACTGTTAGTAATAATGGAGCCTAAGTAATTAAAATGGCGGACCACTTCGTAACCTGCCATGTTTCTTATCACTGGTTGGTTGTTTCTGATTCTATCGATGAATCACTCTAGTTTTTTGCATATGTATTTTTAAGCCATATTCCGTACTCACCGTGCCTAGTCTATTCATAATTTGTTTTAGTTCTTCTGGTGATGACGCCAACATAACAGTGTCATCTGCATAACGTAGATTTTTTTATTTTTCTTCCTCCTATCGTTGCTCCACCTTGCCATTCCTCAAAACGTTACGCAAAATATGTTGATTACATACATTGAATAGAATAGGGATTATTATGCATCCCTGTCGAACTCCAGATTTTAATTTGAAGTTTTTCGAAGCCACATTATTAACTCTTACATTAGCAGTATTATTTACATATAGTTTTTGTAATAAATAGATTAGATGTTCTGGAGTACTCATTTCTCTAAGTATATGCCACATTTTATCCCATTTTACGGTATCAAAGGCTTTGGAATAGTCAACAACGCATAAATATGTTTCTATGTTACACTCTCGAGATCTTTCGATAATTTAGCGAATATCAAGAATATGTTCTCTTGTTCCTCTACCTGGGGCGAATCCGCATTGTTCTTAAGGAATTTGTGGTAAGAGAATTGATTTTAGTCTTTCATTGATGATGGTTAGAATTACTTTGCTCGCGTGTGATATTAATGCTAATTCTAAGCATTACTTCCGTCCTTAATTCTCCTATTTCTTTGAATGTTTTAGCTGTTATTATATCCTCTCCTTTTGCTTTTCTGGATGTTAGCTTCTTAATTTACAAAGTATCATTTTCATAATAATACTCCAGTCACTCGGGCTATTCACCTCTCAATTTTGTCAAACTAAACCGATTCACTTGAAATTTGGTGAGTTAATGGAAAAAATGCTCAAATAACAAAAGTTATATAATGCCGATGGTTGTTATGTGGTCTCGAAGGCTCACGTTGCTGAACGTGAGCCTTCGAGACCACATAACAAACCAACAAATTAGGCAAAGATCAGGAGTTCAAGACGTCATCGAAAGAACCACGTCGCTTAAGTGAAACTGGGCAGGGCACTTAGCCAGAGCACAAGATGGACGGTGGACAAGACGTATTATGGAATGGAGGCCCAGAAACTATAAAAGAAGCCGAGGACGACCACCGACTAGATGGACCGATGATATAAAACGTGTAGCGGGAAACTGGCTACAAGCGGCCCAGTGTAGAGAACACTGGAAAGAACTGAGGGAGGCCTATGTCCAGCAGTGGACGCGATTGGCTGATTGATGATGATATAATGCCGATATGTGCTTTTGCCATAGGTATGGTTATTTTTTCAAAAACTAAATACTGTTTGAGCTATTTATGGTTGAAAACAGCGCACTTTTATTGAAAAAAGTGACGTTTTTTGACAGGATTTCATGAATAACTCAAAAAGTATGCCTTTGATCGAGAAAGTATGCGAAATAAAAATGAAGCTTATAAAAGAAGAATGAGATTCGTTTTTTATAAGATATTGTAGATACAAAGTGAGACATGATCGGTGAGAGAGGTATTTTTTTTGGGAATATTTGGATCAATGTATTCAACGTTAAATAGTAAGAAAACGGTTGATTTTTCGGGGTTAATGATACGAAAGCTTTTTTATAGTTCATGAAAAGACCTTTAAAATGAGCACTACAAAAAGTCATGCATGTAAAATGAGTAAGTTACAGTCGTTAAAGATGGACTATTTAAATATTTTATTGAAAAAAGGGCAGTATAATTAACTTATTATCCACTAGAATATATTTTATATTAGTGTTCCATATTAGATCCAGGAGTTTGACTGGTTTAAAATGCATCATTTACGTAAAAAGTTGTATTACATTATTTCGTCTATTTTGAACATTTAAAAAATTGTACTTTTTTTAAAAAACTTGAAAATTATACTAGGTACGTA